GCGCCGAGACGGCCCCAACTGGGCCGCGACATGGCCCTCAGACAGCCTTCCCAGCATGCGTCCGAGAGGTCCAAGGCTGATTCACGATAGCTGAAGGTGGCCAGGACATTCCTCAAGACTGTCCACAAGAATGACAACTCGTCCAACTTGACGGGATCCTCGACAGCCCCACGCGAGACAGACCCCCCCAGGAGAAGGTGCAACGATCGTCGCATCAGGACTCCGACGCGGCCCATGAGGGGGCTGGAGGAGCATGATGGGTCCAGGAGGGGCCCTGGGGGGAGAGGGCTTGGATGGGGGGCTTGAGGAGCAGGAATCGCCGACGCCGCCGTGCGGCAGACGCGGACCACTGCGGCGAGCGGCACCTTCGACAGTGAGGACGAGCGGGAGGCCGGCCGCGTCTCGTGCAGGCGCGGCGCCAGCGACGCCGCTGAGCTCCCTGGGCGAGAGTCTGGAGGCCAGCGAGCGTGGGAGCACTCCGCTGGAGCGGGGTGCGGTGACCGCTCGAGTTGCTCGCGACTGCCGTCGGAGGGCACCAACTGAGCACGTACACCGATCCTGGCTGGGCCGATCTTGGGCCCAGGATCGGTGTACATGCATTATGCCCACGGCAGAAGGGCGCATTCACCAATCCTGGGCCCGGGGTGATCCTGGCCAGGGTCGGTGTTGGTGTATAGTTGGTGCCTTCCCATGCCAGCTGGAGGGTGCCGCCTTCGTCGACCAACAAGGCACATGACACCACCCCACCTACGGCCCTCCATGTAGCGCTGCGGCCCATCGGGCGCCGTAGCGTATACCACGCAACAGCCCACGCCAGGTCTCCCAGTATACGCAAAGCCCCGTGGGGCGGCAGGTGGCGGCTGCATCGGCACTCGGGATGCCTTGGAGGGCTCGACGCGCCCGACCCCCGAGGCGCCGCTGCTTTCAGGGGGAGCAGCCGAGCAAGGGCTCGGGGTCCTCGTGGCGATCACGCAGCAGGTTCCGCCGTGCAGTCGCTTCGGGGATCGACATCTGCCTCGGAGTTGACGGATCCTGCGCGGGTCGCGAAGCTTTTGTCTTCCGAGCCTCAGCCTTGCCCCCGGCGACCAGAGCCTTGGCATGCGGCGTGCGCGGTGCATTTGTCTTGTGCTGTCTGGGCAGGCGCAGTTGAGGCTCTTCGTGCCGCTGAGCCTCTGAGCCTACAGGCCGTGGCCCCAGGTATCCTTCAGTCACTTCACCGATCGGAAAATGCATGTCGGACGTTGCTGACCAACCCAGAGGAGCAGCAATTGCCGAGCAAGATGGGCGAGCACGACTTGCCGCTGGCGGCAGACAGAGGGTGGTTAAGTTGGCGCAGCCCTGCACTCGAGACGTTAAGGCTGCGGCTGGCCGACGGCAGCGTCCTGGCCTTCACCTGCAGCAGGTGCGTCGCGAAGTTTCGAGAGGCGGCGATGATCCTGAGGCTCGAAGGGCTGGCGTCCTGCCAGACGCGCCACTCGGGGAGCGGCATCGACCGGGCCTCCGGAGCCTGGCCACCAGTCCCTGGGCGAGGTGGAGAGGCGACGGGGGGGGGGCGCGACGAGTCCGTGGCCCGATGCGACCCGGTTGCCACTCGGGGCTCCGTCGCCTCCAGAGGCCACTGGGGCGCGCCGCCGAGCGCGGGGGCCGCTTCGAGGACAGCTTGGCCTGCGGGCGGAGCGTGCGAGCGCCCGGGGGGCGTGGCGGCATCCTGTTCGCCGAAGCCGGTGTTTTGCCAGCCTCTTCGGTGGCAAAGGCGGATGAGGCCAGTCGGCGTGTTTCTGTGGCTTCGCTGTGCGCTCTGTCGACGCGGCGAATGGGAACAAGGGAGTGCGTTCGCTGCCGCTTTGCAGGGTATCTGAGAAAAGAAAACTTTGCAATAATGATGGGGACGCCATGCACGAGGAGCCGCGCTCGAGTGTTCAAGATGCTCCAGTTTCCGATGGGGGGGGCCTGCTTTCAGTGCGTCTGACAGGGCTTAGTCAGAGCTTGGTGAACTTATTATGCGAGTGGCTGAGCGAACCGCCTGAGCGTATCAACAACATCGCGTGCCGTGGACCACTGAGAATTTTACCTCTTCATGCCTTCTTAGAGTTGTTGCGATGCAGTCGCTGACTCAGGGGCCGCAGGTTTTCCATCTGGTTGCAAATGGCGAACGTTTATTCGTTTTCTGCGCGGGCAAGTTAATGAGCTAGACATGTCTCGGCTCTCTTGGCGCTGTCGCTGCCGAGGGGTTTGTTCTCGAACTGGCCTGGCCCACTTTGCCTTCGAAGACCACGCCCCAGGGGGCTTCAACAGGACCCGCATTGCCCAACCTTGTCTACCGTTTTTTGTGCGGTGCGATAGTGCACGTGTTGCTAGCCAAGAGCAGTATGCTTAGGCCGCAAGAGCACGAGTGTTTAGGGTCAAGCAGGATTTCTAGTGGTTATCGCTTAGTTTCTCTTTGAGTCTGTCGATGGTTCGCCTTATTCGAGCCGCCGCAGCGTCCTTACTGGACGTCTCGCAGTCCTAAAACGCATTTTGCCACGGGAGTGCGGGGCACAGTCATGCCCCAGACGTGTAATAGTTGTGTCGCAAACTGATTGAATCGTCGATTCAACAAGTGAATGTGTTCTTTCCTGTGTGCGTGGCCGTCCACATCCCGTCGTGGGGCTCATCACCTTCGAATTCGGGGCCTGCTGATCCACGAGGACTTGACGCCTAGTTGACCACACGCCTGGGATGGTCTGGGTCATCACCCCCCCTACCTGTTGGGAGGCAAATCAGACTTGATGACTCGCTCGAGTGTGTGCTTCCAACGCCTTCTCAAGGTCTATCTGCTCCCCCTGACTAAGAGTTTTGGCACCCAGCTCCTATCTAAGCCTTTAGTCCGTTCGCTTGCTTCGAGCCGCCGCAGCGTCTTTATGACGATGGTTTCGATGATGATGGCCATGCTGAGGATAACGGCGATGTTGGTGTCAAATGGTGGTGATGATCATGGTGACGCCGAAGAAGAGAAGGAGGAGGAGGAGGAAGAGGAGGATGAAGAAGAGGAGGAGCGGAAAAAGGCAGGAGGAAGGGCATGACAACTCGCCTCGTTTGCCTCTCCTCGTAGCCCGCCTTGGAAGGCCGCCAAAGCCGCCAAAGTCGAGGCCCGATTTCGAGGACGTCGCAGACGCGCCCGCAGCTCAGCTCAGCTCGCGCCTCCGCCAACGCCGCTTGCTGGGGGCAGAGTAGGAGGAGGAGGAGGAGGAAGAGGAGGAGGAGGAGGAAGAGGAGGAGGAGGGGGGGGAGGCGGAGGAGGAGGAGAAGGAGGGGCAGGGGGAGGGTGAGGAGGAGGAGGAGGACGACGACGGTCTGAGTAAACCAAAGATGCGTACGTGATGCTGCTATACAGCCTCACGTCCCAAGTCCCCCTCTCACATGCCCCTACAAATCTTCCCTTTCACGACAAGCAGCGCCCGCTTTAAAGACCAGCGGAGGTTGGCTTGCCATTTTGGCGGGGGGCTCCTCTTTGATTAGGAATCGCCTTGCATCTGGCACGTAATGAGGCCATCCGTGTAGCTTTTGCACAAGGATGCACTTGTGTCATACACTTCGAGGAATATCAAGCGACAGTTCTATTTGGAAAGAGGACTGCTGTGGATGAATGCAGCGCTGTGAGCGTTGAAGTTTCGGGTTTTCCAATTGAATGAAATCTCCAGCTCAAGCTCCATCTCGAAAGAGAGCAGTTCTCCGTCCTGCGAAACCATTCAGTACAAGCAGCGAATGCGCGCGGCGCTGGGGCGAGAGCGTGACTTTGAAAACGACCAGTACTCAATCCTTTCAGCTGTTGCACGGTTTGGATACGAATGCTCGCTGCGGCTTAAGCACATTATTTTGAACATAATCGCCCTCCATCAGTGAAGCTAGTGCGAACTTTGAACCATCATGTGCACGGCGCTACAACGATATCCTCATTTTGAAAGCGCCCCCGCTTCCATCCCGAACTGCTGCAAACTTTCGAGACGAATGTGCGCGGCGTCGAGGATATAGCTATTTCTGGAAAGCGACCCATCCACTGCACATCTTAAATGAATGTGCGCGACGCTTAGGCGAGAGCCATGTTCCCCAATAAGGCTTGCTCAAGGGGTTCTTACTTGGTTAAATGTTGGTGCCTCCGAATGTTTCTTTGCCCGTTCCTCTGAGATTCCCGGGGTTCCTCGGGTTCCCCGCCCCCGGTCCCTCCTTGTGGTAAGTTGCCCGTTTCGCAGAGGTTCCTCCGGTTCCTCGGGTTCCCCGCCCCCCGTGCCTCCTATTGTTACGTTGCCCGTTTCCTGGAGGTCCCTGGGTTTCGGGGGTTCGTCTGGTTCCCCGCCCCCGTTGCCTCCTCTTGTTAAGATTCCTCGGATTCGCTGGTCTGTTGTTCCTCGGGTTCTCTGGTCTTGCTTCTTGCTTGGGTTCCTCGGGCCCCCGGTCTTGTTCCTTGCTTGGGTTTCTCGGGTTCCCCCGTCTTGTTCCTTGCTTGGGTTCCTCGGGTTCCCTGGTCTTGTTCTTCGGGTTCCCCAGGTTCCCCAACCTTGCTCCGTGCTTGGTTTGCTCGGTTTCCGTGGTTTCATTCTTCGGGTTCCCAAACATTGCAAAGCAATGTCAAGCAAAGCCAAGCAACGCCAAGCAACGCAAAGCGATGCCAACACATGCAAAGACATGCCAGACAATGCTAAACTGTGCCAGTTATTGCCAAGCGTTGCCAAGCAAAGCCACATACATTATGCCAAGCAGTCGCAAGCATGCCAAGCAATGCAAAGCAATGCAAAGCATTGCAAAGCAATGCAAAGCAGTGCAAATCACTGCCAAGCAATGTGCCCATGCCGTAGGATTTGTTCCCCTAATTGGGTTCGCGCTGGGTTCATTGTGAGAACCAAACCCTTCGGTCCGTCACGTTGTTGCAGACTTCCAAAACGAATATGCGCGGCGCTAGGGCGACAGGCACACTTCGAGAAGGATCCGCCCTTCATCCGTGAAGCTGCTGCGAACTTTGAAACATCATGTGCGCGGCGCTAATGCGATAATGATATTTCGAAAACGACCCCCTCCATATACGAATATGTTGCAACCTTTTGAGGCGAATGTACGCGGCGCTAAGGCCATAACCACATCTTGAAAAGGAATTGCCCTCTATCCGTGAAACTGTTGCTAACGTTTAGGGCGAATGTGCGCGGCGCTAAGGCGGGAGCTAGATTTCGAAAACCACCCCACCCTCTTCCGTGCAGCTGTTGCGAATGTTAAACTTCAGGGCAATACATGGTGAGAAAGTCTCACGCGAAACACCCGACCCGCCCTACGGACAGGTCTGTGGGCACGAAAGGCATGAGTTACAGTCGGACCGAGGTATAAGGTCGAGGTCGGTTCGCTGAGGGTACCCTAGTGTTCTTCGTTGTTGTTGGATGTTTTCGTACATCCTGGGGGAGGGTACCATTTGCTGTTCTGTGTGCTTTCGCCGACGGAGGGCCTCATGTTCTTGATGGATGTTCTTCTGGCCTAGGTCCGGCCATGGGCAGGAACCGAGGCGCCACGTGGCGACGCTGCTCGCCATGCGCGTGCCCTCGCTGGCCCCTGTTCCACAGCATCGCACCGCGCGCTGGCCACCAAGGCACAGCTTGCAACAGCTCGCCCTCTGGATGTCACCCAGGTCGCCTCATGGGCCAGCCCAGGGGCCCAACCAGGCCGATCCGCTAAAGGCACGAGCCGAGGAGCCACAGTGTGCTTTGCACGACACTGGCATTTTCGCACCCCAGACATCGGGCGTCTCGAGAAAATCGGGACGGAGGTTTTTCGTAGTTTTTGGCCTCTCGGAGCTCTCGCCGGGCCTCGGGACCGTCAACAAACGACTCGGGATGAAAAACAGGTCCCGGGGAAGTGGTCGGGAGGTCGGGGGCCCGTGTCTCGAATCGAGACGTCGGATCTCTGGGACCCGTGCCCCCTCGCGCTCGTCACGTCACCTCGCCAGCTCTCGGCCCCCACAGGGCCCACGCGGGAACCCAACCCCGCACCGCGACCAACCAGGGCTGCCTCGAGGTCGGCCACCAAGGTCGAGCCCCGCGGCCCGTGCCAATTGAGGCCAGCCGGACGATTCGGTTATTTGGTCCCAGCCCACGGGCCCCCGCTGCCGAGGCGCCAACCCTCGTCGCCAGCCACGTTGACGCCCACGCTCAGGTCCAGAGCCTCGGCAGAGGCAGCGCCGCGTCCATCGTCAGCAGCACGACGCTGCGGCACAGGCCGAGGTGCTCTTCGAGCCTCGGGTCCTCCTCGTCTGGCCGACGACGGGGCCTGGCACCTGTCCCCCTCCTGGGCCCCGCGTCCGGGCTGGTAGGGCACCGCCCCTCGTTCCCCTCCCCCCCCCCGCTCTGCCTGCCTCCTTCCTCCCTGTCCTCCCTCTCTCTTGTCTTTCCTTCTGGGTGGCGGTCCTCTACCCCCCTCGGACTTCAAGCCCCTCCGGGCGGGTGGAAGGGGCGCCTGTGCCCGTGTCCCACCCCGCTGTTTACCTCACCTTCTTCCACCGTAGGCGCCAACACGACCACCACCAGCTCCTCGCTGCGGACGCGGCTGCGTGCAGTAGCGTGTCGAGGCTCACGCTCGGTCACCAGTGCTTTGGTCACCTACCACGGCCTCCAAGGCACCGTCCACCAGCTACTCTGCGCTTGCGGCTGCGCGCAGGGGCGAGTCGAGCCATGCTACGGGCCACTAACGCCCTGTGGCATGCGCCGGGCCACTAGTGACCTTGCGCATGTCACCCCAAACCTCCAGCTTCCACCGGCGGCGCTGCCAGAATACCACCGCCTCGCAGAATACCTCCTCACATGGGGTGGGGGCGGAGGGGCCACGACCAGGCAGGCGTTCTGCCACGGCGCCACCTTCCTCCAGTCTCTTCTTCCCCGCGAGCGCACCAGTGGTCGTGCGCCGCGTTCCGCTCGCGGCTTTGGTCCCACCAAGCCAGTCGTGCGCCCCGGCGCGTGCCGGGGGTCGACTCTCTTCTCATTTCCCGCTCCGTTCGCTGCGCGCCAGCCCAAATCGTTGGGCGCACTCGCCACTTGCTGTCCGCATCAGCGCCGTCTTCCTCGCCCTCCCCCTCTCTGTATAATATTGCTTGAGAGCCGATACAGACGTACCCCTTATGTATTTACAGCAAGCTGTTTGTTTTCGTCCCTGCCGTTCTTCCCTCCTTCCTCTCTCCTCCACTCCAGCTTTCCTCCCTCCTCCCTCCCTCCTCCCTCCCTTCCTTCCTTCCTTCCTCCCTCCTCCCACTCCCTCCTCTCTACCTTCCCTCCTCTCTCTCTCTCTCTGCCTCCCCTCCCTCCTTCCCCCCCTGTCCTCTTCCCCCCCCCCCTTCCCCCCCATCCCTTCCCCTCCCTCCCCCCTTCCCTCCCCCCCGCACCCGCGAGGGCGGCGAGGGCCGCCGGGGCGGCCGCGGCCGCGGCGGCCGCCGCGGCTTCGGTGCCCCTGAAGCCGGGCGAGCGGGTGGAGGTTTTCGGCCTACAGTCGGAGGCGGCAGCGCCGTTTCCACCGCCAGAGCCCTGGGATCTCGTCGTGCTTTGTTCCTCTTTCTCTTCCTCCTCCTCCTCCTCGCCTCCTCGCCTCCTCCTCCTTCTCCTCCTTCTCCTCGTCCGCCTCCGTCTCCTCTCAAGCATTCTGGTCCAGGCGCACCATTTTCGCAGACACCTGGCCAGGCCTCGCGCCTTCACGAGGTGCTTGGGGTCCAACACGCCCCCCTCGCCCAGTGTGTAGGCGTTCGTGTTGACGAAAGCGAGGCATCAGTTCTCAGCCATGTCGGGTATAGGCCCCAGCGTATGGTCGACGTGCAAGGGCTGCAACACGCACGAGTGGAATCATGTTCTGGAGAAGGCAGGCGGAAGGTGTCGCACATGCGGCCGCCCAGCTGCCCTCCACAAGCCCAAGTGCAAGAAAGGCAATCAGTCAGTCATGAAGGAGGCCGATAACGCTTTTAGGTGGCCAGGGTAAGCAGCAGAGAAGCACGAGCAGCACTGCAGAGCAGGATGCCGCCAAACTCCTCGACCAGACCATCGCCGCCACCACAGATGCGTCCATCAAGCAGGTGCTCATTGCCCAGAGAGTGTCGCTGGCGGCGCAGCAGGGTGCTTCCTCCTCCGCTCCAGCTTCTGTTGCGCCGTCTGAGGCAGCCAGGAGAGCGAAGGGGGTTTGGCGCGATGCAGACGCCAAAACACCTCTAGGCCGTTCAGCATGTTCTTCGTTGCAAGGAGAACTTCGCCAGAGCCGAAGGCCGCGAAAAGGAGACGGCGCAGGTGCTGGCACAGGCGACCCTGGCGAGGTAGCTAGCGGTCAAAGCGCTGGCGCAGGCTTCGGGAGTTGTCCTGGACAGCGCAGCGGCCCCCTCCAAGCAGGGGCTTTTCGAGGCACGGTAGGACACGTCCTTCTTCGAGGCGTTCGACTCCATGGAGATGGAGGAGGCAGAGCGAAAGGAGTTCAAGGCCCTTGAGGAGCAGCTCAAGCTGGCGAAGGAGTCCATGGCCGTGCGCTTGGACGAAGTACAGCAGTGGCTCGAGCGCACGCAGGCCATGCAGAAGACCGTGGAGGAGCGGACCTCCAAGAAGAGAAAAACGGAACAGGCGGATGGTGGTGGCGCAGTGCCTGAAGGTGGAGCGGCCCCAGCGGCTCCTTCGATGGCGGCGCCCCCTTCCGAGGCGGCGAGCACCGCGCCGGCGCCCAGCGGGGCTACTACCGCACCGTCGCCAATGAGGAAGGCAGCGGTCCCTCAAGGCCGAGGCGGCCAGGGCAGCCGACAAGGCAGCTGCAGGCCCCGCCGCGGGTGGCAAGTCGAGTAAGCGATATACGCAGCTTGCTGCTCGCATCAATGGTCCCGAGCCAGCAGCAGCCAGTGGGCAGGCCGCAGGCTGCCGTGACACGAGTATTGGGCCCTTCGCCCCCCCCCTTTCTCTCCGCCCAAGGCGCGGAGTTCAGCGGCAGTCCAGCGACTCCTCCTTCCACATCCTCCTCTCCTTCGATAACTGGCAGCGACGGGAGCCATGACTGCAGCGCGCTGCACTTCACCAGCGTTGCCGCGTTCGGCAAGAAGGCTAGGTCACATGTCACCCTGAAGCCAGCTAGCCATTAGTTTGACTTCACGGTTTTCGTTGAGAGTCGCATCGGGGAGGCTCGAGCAGAAGTGGAGTGGCAAGTTCAAGGCACAGGAGCTGAAGTCGTTATTCATCCTCGCCCTTAACGCGCGCCGCGGCAGCAGTGAAGCCTTTCGTTGCAGGGCCAACGGAGGAGAATAGCTGCATCTCGCCCGACAGCATCTTCAAGTTCACAAGTTCCCGATCGAGTCGGTGCATGTGTCCGACCTGTGACGCCAAGTTCGATTGTTTCTTGCCCGTGACAATGTACCTTCAGGGATGCGCGCAGGCGTTGGCGCTGCTGCCTTCACCCGTCAGCGGGAGTGGGCGGCCGCAGTGCGCCGCGCCTGTCCAGGTTCAGCGCATTCCTGCGCTCGCTTCGTCTGCCTTGGTTGCGCATCGGAAATGTTATCATGTCTCCTGATATGCTTCGAGCTTCCAAGTATCGGAGTCGCGCGCGGGGGCAACTTCGTCGCGCGCCCGACGAGTGCGCGTGCAGCACGAGCTCGGGCAACAGTTTGATCGATCATGTTATTGCAGGCCCTGGCAGTGGCAGTTCCCATGTCGGTGTGACCACTGGTCATTATGCGCCGTGGACCCCGCGCTGCGCCCTCAGAGTTCGCATCGGGCAGTTGCGCAAGCAGCTCGAGAAACGGGGTCTCGTCGCAGGTTCGAACTTGCCGCGGTCTGTCCGTTCAGGCTTTTCGCCGACAGTGGGGCCCAAGTCCAGCGTTGCCAGGATCGAGCGCGTTGCCAGAGTTGCTCTGGGCAAGGAAATGTCTATCGCCGCAGCCGATGAAGATTTGGCGATATGTCTTCCAACCCTGGAGCTGCTAGAGCAGCCAGCTGTCTCTGACTCGTCGGTTTGCGCTGATGATTCCCTCTGATGAATTCTTGTTACTGCTTCTGAGCCCGATCCGAGGGGGATCGTCGGGCCGACGAAGCCTGTTCTCGCCCTTTCATTGTCCAGGCCGAGGCCTTTCTAGGCAGTCCTCGGGCAGATGGCGCGAATGGGGATTCGAGTTGCGAGCGTCGCGACCTCGACCCCCCCCGGAGTCAGGCGCGCAGTTTGGGCGGCCCGACGCGGGCCCCCCCCCCCCCCCAGCGACAGCGGCAACCCCGATCTTCCAGCAGTGGAGTCTTGTGTTCACGCGTCTGAGGCTTTCCCCGAGGAAATCATGCAGCCCCCGTCGTTCCACGTCCCTTCTCACCGTTGGGTTTAGGCTCGAACCTGCTGTTGTTGCACATGTTACCAAAGCAATGTAGAGCGCGCCGGCTGGCCACTGATTCAAGTATCGATCGCGCATCAGGTGGGTGGACCGTATATCGAGCAAGCGTCCGCCAAGCGCGCTCAGTGGGTTGCGTGTGTCGAGCACGCCGCGCCAGCTTGCCATGGCGCCCCGTTGCCGTCGGCGTCGAGAACTGCGGACCCCGCGCCTCAAGCCCTTGACTGGAATGTTTGGCAGCGTCTTCTCAGGCATGGCATCGATCGCCCTCAGCTACACTTGTTTTCTCGCGCGGGACGCGTAGGTAGCTCCGAGAAGAGCCGGCAAAAGAGCGATGCAATAGTCGCTAAGCGTGTTTCGCGATTTGATTGTTTCCGCGCCCGCGCAGGGCGCGTCGCATAGGTGCATCGAAGATAATCCCGACCCCGTGGGTGATATCCACATTGGCGGGCGTCATATCTTTCGCCCGCGGGGTGCGATCGACGAGGGCAGCAGGAAATGACATGGCCTGGGGCATGGCCCCAAGGTTGAACTCGGAGAGGTTGAGCAGGCCTTTGGTCAGATACGTGCTCGGGCAGCTGCCCGCGCTCTTCCCCCAATTGATGGGGGGGGGGGGCGACGGGCGCTATCCAAGATGAAGCAGAGGGCAATCAGACAGGCACAGAACTACACTTTGGGCGAGTGGATTAGCTTCTTGCGCGGATCCCGAAATTCCAAACTCACTTTTGCGACATCGTTTTACGTACTGGTTCGCCCGTCATTCGAGGGGGCCGATCGCGCCTGTCGGATTTGCCGGGGCCCCGACTTCGCTTGCCAGCGTCAGTGTGGAATCAAGACTTGCGCTTCACGAGTGGATTGGAGGATGAGCGCAAGGTGAGTCTTTCAGCTGCGGGGCGGCGCAGGCGTTTGCCGCCACGCAGGGGCCAGCGGCAATTGGGAAACGCCCAGAGAAATGGAGGGTGGCAGGTAGAGGAAGAACGGGGGAGGGGGATGGCAAAGCAACGGTCGGGAATGGGGAACATACTGACCAGGCGAGATGCTCTGATAGTGGGAGCGATGTGGGCGGAGGCCGCAGTTGGAATTCCTTCGGGAAGCCCTGGGGCGTTCAGACACCTCCGCCCGGAGGCTGGCAGGGGGTTCAGCGGCCCTTGCCTTCCTGACTCTGCGGGCGGGGCGCGACGACGCACCCGACCTGTGCCCCGACCCTTTCGCTGGGTGCCGGTCTGTGCGTGATCGCCCCGCGCGAGACATCCAGCGCGTTCAGAACTACACTTAGCCAGGCACTAGGCGTAGTTCTGTACGTGGTGGTTTCGCCAGAGACATCCACTCAACACGGAGCACTTATAGAACTACACCTAGCCAGCGGGGCGGGGTGCATGTCGGGCGCCGCCGCTCGCGCTCCCAACGTGCACCGCGCCCCGGCCGCTAAGTGCCGTTCTGTACGTGTCCCCTTTTCGCGAAGCATCGGCTGCCCGCGCTGCCCATCGCCGAGGCCCCGTCCCCTGGGCTGCTTCCCGCCGACATTCCACATCCCCTGGCTCAGCGAAGCCAGCCGCATGCCTGGGGGCCTCGACCTCGCGCAGCCCGCTTCCCTCCCCCGCCTGTGCCCCAGCAACGAATTCGCGATCCGATCCCACGCGTTTTCGAGTTCTTCTTCGTGCCGGATTTCCCTCCCGAGGGTGAAACGCTTGTTCGCGTTATCATTTTTCTTGAGGCCGCCGCCAAGCCTCGCCGTGAAACATGGCGATCGCTTCCACGTTTGGCACGCGACGTCTTTGGCGCGACCATCGCCTTCCATCGTAGGTCGTGAGGCGGTGCCCGTCCACCCAGACCGACCGACGCGCCAAATTTAATTATGATTGCCACCCCTGGTCCCCGCAACAAGGTGCAGTTTTCTTGTGTGAAGTTGTAGATGCGTTCGAGGCAAGGCTGGGCATCGACCAGCTCACGCCCTTGGATGTGCAGCGTCTCCCTCCAGAAGGACTCGCGGCCTTGGCGGGGTTCTCAGCGCCGCCCGGGAGCTTTGGGCATGGCCAACGCAGCTGCTCATCCTGCAGGGGCGTTTCCTACCCGCGGTCGGGGGGGGGGGGGGGGAGGCAGGGTCATCGGCATATTGGCCATGGTCTGCAGGGCTTGGTCTCTGGCGCGGGAGGCGCGCGGGAGGGGG